GACAGACAGACAGACAGACTTAGCGCATTATATATAGTAGGGATTGGGGTCCCATCGCAGGACCGGTTTGTTTCCCCTTGCCAGGAGCTCGTTTTCCTTATCGAATTCCATTTCTATTCATCTTATGTCCCCTTGAAAGCGAGCATCTTTTGGCACATTCTCACTTTCAAAAACGACGTCAAGATCGCCTGGAGTGACTGATGGTGGAAGCACCCTGACCAGATGTCTTCTGTATAAATTTGTGCGGTTTTTGGTTTTTGCGCTGTTTGTATTCAAGGTTTTGAAAAAAGGGCAAACGCTTTTGGAAGCAATAAAATCAAATCTTGAATCCATAAGCACATAGAAATAATACACCAATTTGAAAAAAAGGCACAAGTCACGATCGAATTAATGCGCTAACTTGTTTGACATGACAAGTAGGGCGAAGAGGAGCCTTAGTGGACAAAAAGCAAAAAGCACCACGAAATCCTTGAAATATTTGTGATTCCGGCCGAGGTACGACGAAGAAACACCACGCATGCCGCAATTGCGGAATTGATGCGAATGGCAGCGGTCGCAGCGGCCCAGCGAAGGCATTAGCTTCCTTGTCACGCACTTTTGGATCGCCACAATAGCACCACTACTCTGTGACCAGGAATGTTTTTTAATGACCTAAACGCTACTTGTGCCCACAAATGTGACGAGGCTGTAAAGACTCTTCGAATTTCAAACTTACTTTACTTGCTTTGTATCTCCAACCCGATATTTTCTTGCTATACCAAAATCGAGCATGTAGACAACCTTCTCAAACTCTCCAATCCCAATGGCGAAATTTTGCGGCTTGATGTCCCTGCACAGGCACAATTATTTCTAAGTTATTGCCTTGTCCTGAAACCCACCTGTGCAAGTAACCAGTCTCATGCAAGTCCCATACCGCTTGCAAAGTTTGCAACGAGGCATTCATAGCTGTGGGCTTTGAGTAATCACGGTATAGGATCTTATGCCGGATATCTTCAAGCGACGATCCGACAAGACCCATGACCATAAACTGAAATCGAGCTATTCGCTCAGAATGCCAAACTTTCATCAAAACAGAGACTGCTGTAGACCTTGAATTTGTCGGTTTTCCCGCGATCGACGAGTTCAATAAAGTGGCCCTTCTTTTCTGGATCCGATACTTCATGACATTGTGCTAGTACAAGGACTTCGATTTTCAGACGGAGCTTGAGTTTGTCGCCTTCCACCATTTCCGTTTTCATCGCGTACTCCTGCAAGTAAATGGATATCTACGCTGAAATAACATTTTGTGGAAAATATGCGATTATTTCGTTCTGAAATTAGAATTTCGAAAACCCATGAAGGGAAAATCGCTGAGAACACAGGAATTTCGAATTTCCTTTGTTTGCAATAAGCGCAGAGCTACAGCGGAAGGGCTGGACCATGGGAAGATAGAGAGAGAGCAATAGAGATGGCACGGTGACGAGACGGAAACGCTCTTCTCCACAGACCGCTACGTTGCGAATAGAAGATGTAGGCGTTTGCAGCCAAGTGATGAGGTCCTAAGCCAATCGTCGCGTACTTTTGAGCTGCAAAAACGGTACATTTCCAACAGCTCTGCTATTCAAGAAATCTATCGAACCACCTGACCTCATCACGGACTGTGCCCCTGAAGTGACATTTTTCAGGTGATACTAGAACACACATTACGCGATTACGTGAGAGGTGAAATCGCTGGTAGCAAGGTGGCCCGCAAGCAAGCAGGTTGGTCGTTTCCATTGACCCAAGGTATGTGGCAGGATCTACGCGCTCTTATTGAACTTATCCACTACAGAGACGACTCTCTATGATCTTAGATTATTTTGGTGTGATTGTATTTTATTATCATGGTCGATTCCTTACTTATTGGTGTCTTTTTAGTGTACTTTGTACCGTGATTCATTCTGTAACTTGAAGAAATTCATTATCTGCTGGCTGATCAGTATTGTGGAATGTATACATATAGCTTGCTCCGCCCATTATCCACTGAATATAAGCCCGACAGATTTCCATAGATTCAGTCGTTTTTCCTTCTTCTTTAGGTATTGTATATAATGTAAAATATGTAATAAAAGTTTAATTACCCAAGTTTGAGGTACCTACCAACCCAAGACCCGCGTGGCAACAAAGAGCGACCCCGACGGCTTATGGTGCATCGGCGACTCTAAGGACCAGGACCGAGGACGAAACCAAGGATCCATCGGATACGAGGAAGAGAAACAGCTGAA